CCAAAAACCCCAAAACCCCAAAACCCCAAAACCCCAAAACCCCTGATAGTCATAAGGACGTTGAACTTAAAAACTCTTCGAGTCAATATGGTTTCTCTCATATCTAAAAAGCTTATCCCTGCTTAAAAGAGAGAGTTGAACGCTCACAATGTAAAATTACTTTGATCTTTTATTTACCCTTCCATATTCTTTATCAAAGCAGAGGTAATCTTTGCTTAAAGTGGCAAATAGAGTCTATAATTTTCCTATAAATTGGAGAAGAGACTTCTTTCCCTGTGGGCCTAGTTTCCAAATTAAATATCAAAGTCTCTTTAAATATATAGCTAACTACACTGATAATTTAGAGCATTTTAAGTCAAGATAATTATACCAAAATTTCTGCTGAAAATTACTCACACGTTCTTAAGATGAAATCATGCATATCAGCAGTGCCTAATCTTTGACGCTAACTTATGTTGGAATTTAGCCAATGCTACTGCATTAGCAGCTTTAACTGAACCCTCTCATGCCAGGTAAGGCCTGATTTCTGAAACTCTTGATGAAAAGGTAACATAGAGGAATCTTTCCTAAACTATGGTCAGCTTGGGCTTTGAGCCTCTAATGCTCAAAAGTTTTATTAAGTTACAAGCAAAGTCCATCATAAAATATAAGAAATTTAATGAAATTCTTTAGCAAAAGCCCGTGTCTAAGACACTTATTTCAATTTAGCTCAGTCTTAAAATCCTAATCAGAAGAGGTTGACCTCCTGTTTATAAAAATTGTTCAATTCTGTATCTTTTGACAGTCTTTTGTTAAAATTCTGGGAAAGAGCAAGTTAGGTCAGCATTTAGGTCAAGTCAAATTCTTGATGAATTTATCTACCTCACTTGTATCTTCCCCAGGTATATTAGATAAGATACAGTTTATTTAGGAAATTTAGAAGCGAAGTTGGCGGTCAATTCCTGCTGCTAATTCAGGCTGATTGCTATAAATTTCTGAACTCTTAGTACGAACAGAGGCTAATGAGGATCAGGAAAGGAGGAAGTTGTCATAACATTCGGTTTTCTTAAGCTAACTTCTCCCAACAAATTCACCAACCAATAAGTGTTCGAAGCACAGTAGGCATATCGGGAAGTGAAAGAAAATCTTTCTGTTCATTTATGTGACGACGAACCTAAGATCGAACTATAAAGTTCCTCGAAATTTTGGGCTTTTTTAACTTAAAGTATCACTCTTTTAATAAAATATTTTAGATACATCACAGCAATAATATCCAGAAATTTCCTCCTTTTTGTTTGACTTGAACAGCTTGCATCCTTACTTGTGAAATAGAAATTGAGCAAGAGTTTAGCTTTTAAGATCAGTCCTATTTTAGCCAATAATTAATAACACTAGTCTATCACAAAGATCACGATATGAAGCCCCATTCTCCATATCTTTTTAATAACTTATTATCGAATGAAAAGAAACCCAAAAGAAGAAATTAGACTCGAGGAAATATATTATATCGATAAAATTATTAGAGTTCTCTGGTTTCTTCCTTGCTGCTGTATTCAGCCCAACTTCCATCGTACATTCTGAGTTTGTCAAAGCCAACTTCATCAAATGCTGAGTATCCAATTCAGGCTGTAACTCCTCCATGGCAGTAAGCAATAGTTTCTTTGCTCTTGTCAAGACCTACTAAGGTGATTAGCTCATTGATCTCTTCTCTATTCTTCATAAAACCATTCTTATCATAGAACTGAGAGTATGGGATATTGACAGCTCCAGGAATGTGGCCTCTACCGTTATGCTCTTTGCTTCAGTATTGATCCTCAGTCCTGACATCGACGATCTGTACTTCATTTCCTAAATAAGGTTAAGCTACTGCGAGGCATTACCACCTTCTAAGGCTAGGCCATTGTGGTAGCAGAAGATACAGATTTTGTTCTCTCCAACCAAAAACTGAAGTTAACAAGAAAAATTTGTACAAACCTTTCCAGAACGTCAATCTTCGTGGGAAGTAAAATAATTTTCAAGAATATAAGATACGATGGAGAGCAAGCTAAAATCTTTGAAAGAAACTCTCCCTAAAAGAAAAACAACTTTATATCAAGATTAAGCTTAATTTTGAAGAGAAAGAAGGCTTACTTCCTATCTTCTGTAAAACTTCATGATAATCGATGAGCATATCTTCGTTTGGCTCTTTCGCAGTGAAAGTATCGTGAGCAATCGAAGTATAGTCAATCGGGGTTTTGTGACTGGTTGTTGGATACCCCTTCTGGTTCCATTCCTTTATTCCTCCTCAAAGGATACGAGTGGAGGGATGGCCATAGTACTTCATAATGAACCATGCCTTCGCAGTAGAGATTCCATTGTACAAGACAACATCACTCTCATCAAGAATGTTAAGCTTCTTCATCATCATGTTGAACAGAGTTGGGGATGGAGTAGTGAATCTATAAGTAAGATTTAGTATAACTATCAAGTTTAACCTAAACAGCTTTGGCATTTTAAGACAATTGAAAAGATTGTAGATTTTGGTGATTTGAGACGTAGAGAAACGTTGACTTACAAATTTGGAGAGCTCTCAGTAAATTCGTGCAGATTCAAAAGGTTTGCACTAGGTAATGATCTTGTGTAGAAGCTATGCTCAGCAGATCTTCCCATTCCAACATAGAAAAGCTTCAGTCCAATACTTCTCTGCTCAGTAAGGATCTTAAATAATGCGTCAGGCTTTACAAAAAGGTTAGACATCTCTTTAAAATATAAAACTCAATTTCTTTAAATAATGCAGGGGTTTTGGGGTTTTGGGGTTTTGGGGTTTTGGGGTTTTGGG